ATAGTGGCAACTCATCTTTTATTGATATATGTGGGATTCTCAATTTAGAAAGTCACATGGCAACCGTGAATTCACTGATTTACCTTAGAGTGAGCATGCCCTTATTTTTTGGGTATATGCAGATGGATTGTCAAGTCATGTCACTTGATGCACAATATTTCCTTTTTTCTGGTTTTTCATTCTACTGACAACTCATACCTTGTTCGTTTATGTGGGATTGTCATGCAGGGCCATATTTCTAACGCTGTTTATAACCAACTATATAAACGACTAAAGGTGAAGAAACAACCTTACAACTCATTTCGCCCTACGAAATTATCATTCATTTGTTTTAAAAAATTAGCATGGTTACATGGTTCATGGGAGGGAGTGGGAATCGCAGAGGTGGTAGGAACTTGCAAAGGGGTGACAGTTCACGACGAGGAGGGGGAATGAGAAGTGGCGATGCTGAAGATGAAACACCATTTGCTTCGTTAGATGCCTCTTGTGCTTATCATGATAGGTTTGGGAAGCGACATTTTGTCATGCCCAAGTACTATCGAGATCCATGTGGTTTGGTGGAGGAACCATCAGATAATCAAACAGGATATGGTTTAGCAAATCACTACAACAAAAGTAGCCTATGGTGACGAAAACTAGTGAAGAAAATCAGATTCGTCACTAAATAAAAATAATTCGTGAGGAATTTATAAATTTTGTCACATATAATAAAAAAATGAAAATGATAGGTGACAAAATTTATTTTCGTCAATAAATACTTCATTTTAAGTGAGGAAAAATTAAGTTTCGTCACCAAAAATTTTCCCGCTACTTTTTTTTGGTGGCGCCAAAATTTTGGGACTTTTGGTGAGAAAAAAATTTGTCACTAATTATAAAATTATTTGTGAGGAATATATTTTCGTCACCAAAACATTTTAATATTTTTGATATCTTTTAGTGAGGAAATAATATTGTCACCAATTTTGGTGGGAAATTTTTGATATATTGAAGGGCAATTAAAAAAAACATAGGGTATTAATTTTTTTTTACCCCTTTTCTGTTTATCATCTCTATCTCTCTTTCTCTCTCTCTCAAAATAGGGTATTTATTTGTCTTACCTCTTGCTCCTCCACCACGCCGATCACCATTGTCGCCTCTATTAGCCTTGCCGATCGTCGCCGCCACTAGTAGCCTTGTCGGTAACCGCCACATCTTCTTCACTCGGTGATTTGGTACGTGATTTCTCTTTGCTCTTTTTCTAGTGTCTCTTTCTCTTATTCTCTGTATTGGTATGGTGACGAAAATAAGTAAAGAAAACAAATTTCGTCACTAAATAAGAATAATCCATGAGGAATTATAAATTTTTTCACGTATAATAAAAATATAAAAATAATAGGTGACAAAATTTATTTCCGTCAATAAATACTTACTTTTAGGTGAGAAAAAAAAAAAGTTTCGTCACCTAAATTTTTCCCACTAATTTTTTTTGATAATGCCAAAATATTGAAACTTTTGGTGAGAATTTTTTTTTTCAACAATTAAAAAATTAATAATGAAGAATATATTCGCGTCACCAATAAATTTTTTTTTTTGAAAAATTTGATTTTAAATATTTTAAAACCATTTGGTGAGAAATATATTTTCGTCACCAATAATTTTATTTACCAAGAGCCAAAGGTTTGACCACTTGGTGCATCTGACTATAGCCAACTATTATGGCTTCTTGCTTTTTCCCCTATACTTTCTAAACTATTGCCTTTATGTCCAATGCTGAAAATTCGATTAAAGCCAATGGATTGGCTTGTTGGTCTTGATCTTTCTATCTATAATCAGGCATCATCATCATCTTTATTGACAAACTCTTCTCAGCACTCTCCTGCACTAAGTGCTTCAGGTGCGTTACTTCCTTATCAGCCGTCACTTCGGCTGCTTCATCAGGCTTCCTCAACACACTGAGTGGTACAACCCCTTCAGTGTATAGCTTGGCCTCAGCAAAATCAGCACAAGCAATAAAAGGTTGCAGATCCGTACTGATTTCCTCTGTTTCCCCATTACACAGAGCTATCATCATCTTCTAATGTAAAAAGGAAGGCACACACTTGTTGGTATGGATCCAGTCCCTGCTAAGTAAAGCATTATACTTAGCATTACTGTCTATAACAAAGAATGCTGTCATGCAATCTCTGGTTCCCACACTCAGGTTAATGGATAAAATATCCTGAGCCATTTGCTTATCTCCAGCAAAACTAGCAACGGTTGTACTGGTGGGGATCAACCTAGGATTTCTCTTTCCTAGCTTCTTCAAAGAGGACTTTGGAAGCAGGTTTACTACTGCACCATTGTCCATTAACACCATGTTCATCTCTATCCCATCGAAGTATGCTCTGATATATCTTCCTTTCTTCAATTTTCTCATCAGTCAAGCAGTATTCAATAAAAGAAATACAAGGTATAAGTTTACAGTTTCTGGTTTGAGCTTATTGAGTTAGACCATTGAAATCTGTACCCATTCAAAAAGAAATTTCATCGTTATTCAGTGGAATTGTCCCATGTCATCATTTAAAGAGCCCAAGAGGATTATTGATTATAGACCAATAAGTTTCTGCTTCTCATTCCCAGATAACATAATGGAGCAATGTTAAAAGAATTTGTGTTGGGAACTTATATTTTCTAACTTGAGTTTAATAAAAGCTTGTGTGATCTGTCTAATGTTTTTATTCTAATAATTACATGAAATTTCTTCAACTAAACTGTATAAAGCTTCTTCACCAAGACATTTTTTGGTTTCTGTTGGTAGAGTTAGACTGTATATTTGTGGTGTTGTAAACTAGGAAAATCTTCAAATGTGTTCTATTTGGCTGTTGAAACAAATATAGATTGAAATTAAATTTATCATCCTTGTACATGCCTGATCCTTGTACATGCTTGGAATGATTGAATAATTTAAAAATAAAAATAAATAACTGAATAATGTGTTGTTTTGTACCCATTCCATGATTTATATGTGTCTTTAGGTTAAGTTTGAGAGATTCATTTCAGTTTGAATGCAGAGCTTTCCCAAGTCTTTATCTCTGCTCATTTTCTTCTTGGTCTTTCTCTGTCTCCTCTTTTTTCTTTTTTGCCGTTGAAGTGGAATAATTTTGGTGAAATATAGTTCAAATAGTGTTATGCATTAAGTAAAAAATATGGTTTTCATTAAGTAAAAGGGTTGAAGCCCCATTATATGATGCGCTAGTGGTCCGTAATTTGATTACACTTGCATGAATTTTATGTTATTTTAAGGCTATAGGTTCAGTAGTATTTGCATTTGGAAATAGGGCTTAAACGTATTTAGTTGAATTTCCTAAACTCAATTATGGCGTTGACTTTTTCTATCCTTCTTAGTGTGTTTGAATTAGAATAATTAGTTGTTGACTATATTTTCTTTTGTCATTTTTAAGCTAGCTCACTATAATTGTGTTATATGTAAATATATCTTGAGTTGCAGCATTAATGCTTAAGAGGAAGCGATAATGTAATTTAAAAAAATAAGGCAAAAGCAAGAACAATTTTTTTAGGCAGTCCATTTTCTCTTTCTAATTTCATAATTTAAAGAACCCTCGCATGGTTTTGCACAAAAAAATGTGAAAAGATGGACTCAAATTTGATGTTTGAATTTTGAGTTCTTATCCTTTGGTTTTTTTTATGCCAATTTAACTGATCACTTAAATCATAGAATGGAGATTCATTCAAGTACCACCACATTATTTTGATAGCTGTTTTAATCTGTTATCTCCCTCTCACTTAAATTTTCTCTATGTTATGATAACTCGTATTTGTAAACTAGTTTTTTCTTATTCTGCAGGTCAAAATGTTACTTTAACTGGTCCTCATAAAGAGGTATACTTTTGCTACTACTTATATACTTTGATTTTGTTTCTGGGATGCTTCTCTTATTCACTGAGTTAAAAATTTTGAGTGTGCAGAACATAGAGTGGAGAGAAAGGCTTGCATTGCAAGATGTTAAATCTCTCTTCTCAAAAGAGGCAAGTTGATATAGTTAGGGGTTTATCCAGTTATAGTGCGGAAACTCTCACTTTTTCATAAGTAGTTGTAGTTTCTCACTTTAAACACTTTCCCTCTTACCTGGCAAACTAATTAATCATATATTTTAGGTAATTGAAGTCATCACAGCCAACACTGATGATTTGGTACCTCTGAGTCTTGATTTTTTGAGAAAAAACAATTTGTCTTCCTCTTGGAAAATTGTTGGGGTGGAAACTGTAGTTGATAATAAGGCCACTTTTGTTGAGGTCAGAATGACTGTCTGCTCTTTGTTTGAATTTTACCTTTCTGCTTTTCCTGATCTTTTATGATGCAAAAACTGTCAACTTACAGTTTTTGACACGCTGTGTTTTGCTTTGTGGTTTTTTGCTTAAAGCAAAACCAAATAGTTCCAAACATCAAACAAGTAACCCCTAGAGGAAAACAGAATGGTTCTACAGGTGGTTATATCTTTCTTGTTCCCTTTGATCTCTTAACTGCTTAGATTAAACACTTTTTATTTAAAATGATAAACCTTTTGTCCTTGCAGATGATCGTTCTCAATTTGTCGATACACCTGCAAAATTACCAAGAAGGGTAAATATCATTAATGGATACATTGCGTGCTTTCATTGTTTTTTAGTACCTTTGTAACATTAAAAACATCTTGTACCTTCTGTTTTTTTATCAGTATGTCTCTGCCTTCTCTTAACTGTGACAACCTTTTTTGAGTTTGTATTTTCACCTTTTCAATTTTTTCTGCAGCAATTGAGAGAGAATATACGTGAAAGCCATGCAGCTGACTTACTAAAGCAAGACGATGAAGTAAATGTAAAGCTTGAAAATGCAGCCATTGAACATTCCAAATCAGTTGACTCTGCAGTTCTGGGAAAGTATAATTTATGGAGGAAAGAAAATGAGAACGAGAACTCTGATTCAACTGTACGCTTGATGCAAGATCAAATCATTATGGCAAGGGTATACATAAGCATTGCAAATATGAAAAATAAGTATGACTTGGCCCAAGAACTACAGAATCGGCTCAAAGAAAGTCAGCGTGCCTTAGGGGAGGTAACTACAGATGCTGATCTACCTCACAGGTAGCATGAGTATAATGTTATTGTATATGTGTTGTCTTTTGCTTTTCATCCTGTTCTTATGTTTATGGTTGTGGCACTTTTCATTTTATTGTGAACAAAAAATGTCATACAGTGCACCCGAGAAAATCAAAACTATGGGCCAACTGCTCTCAAAAATTAGAGGGCAACTGTTTGATTGCAAAGTAGTCACTGGAAAGCTGAGAGCAATGCTTCAGTCAGCAGATGAACAAGTTAGGAGCTCAAAGAAGCAGAGTACATTCCTGAGCCAGTTAGCGGCCAAGACTATTCCAAATGGAGTGCACTGCTTATCCATGCGCTTAACCATTGATTACTATCTCCTCCCACCAGATAAAAAAAAGTTCCCCAAGAGTGAGAATCTGGAAAATCCAAAGCTATACCATTATGCACTTTTCTCTGACAATGTCTTGGCTGCATCAGTTGTTGTCAATTCAACCATTACGAATGCGAAGGTAGAGAGCTTTGTACCAACGTCTCTAGTTGGTTTCATTGTTTGATTTTAAATACAAGTAGTGACGTACTTTGAAGCTTTTTTGCATATTAACTTCTTTGTATGATGAAATTTGCACCTGAAGCATTCGAGCTACAGCGTATTCTGGTAAACTTAATAAACTCTTGACAATAAATTGGTCTTATATAGATATATGCATGCAAAAAAGAGTTGCAATGGTTTGGATTATTTGCACTGTCATTGAATTTTTAAAAAAAATGATGGGGAACATTTTTTAATCATTTTCTTTGAAGTTGCTTCAGATCATAGATTTTGTTGGCGTTGACATTCTTGGATCTTTTTGTCGCTGGATTTACGGTTGTTTGTCTTTTTGTCGCTGGATTTACGGTTGTTTGTCTTTTTGTCGCTGGATTTACGGTTGTTTGTCTTTTTGTCGCTGGATTTACGGTTGTTTGTCTTTTTGTCGCTGGATTTACGGTTGTTTGTCTTTTTGTCGCTGGATTTACGGTTGTTTGTCTTTTTGTCGCTGGATTTACGGTTGTTTGTCTTTTTGTCGCTGGATTTACGGTTGTTTGTCTTTTTGTCGCTGGATTTACGGTTGTTTGTCTTTTTGTCGCTGGATTTACGGTTGTTTGTCTTTTTGTCGCTGGATTTACGGTTGTTTGTCTTTTTGTCGCTGGATTTACGGTTGTTTGTCTTTTTGTCGCTGGATTTACGGTTGTTTGTCTTTTTGTCGCTGGATTTACGGTTGTTTGTCTTTTTGTCGCTGGATTTACGGTTGTTTGTCTTTTTGTCGCTGGATTTACGGTTGTTTGTCTTTTTGTCGCTGGATTTACGGTTGTTTGTCTTTTCTTATGTTTATTTATTGTTGACAATTACCTTGTCTTCCTAATATATATATTTTTCTATTGGAACTTCCTCCTTGTAGAAGCAATCAAATGCTAACATTGACAATAGAAATCAATTGAAGACGAAGCATAGGTGTGGGTCAAAATCTCTCCAAGTTAGGGTACACGAGGTGGTGGGTCTCCTTTAATTTTTTTTTTCGTTTTTTTTTTTTAAAGATGATTCTACTACCATCATTCTTATTTAACTTACTAGTCGAACAAAAAAAATCAGACAATTGCAAATGGGGGCCAACTGCCAGAGTTGCCATGTGTTTACAAATCTACACACTTTAATGATGTCACAAAGCAGTGGATTTCTCCGGAGTGCGAAGAGAATTATGTATGTATATTTACCTTTTGTATTAGGATGATTGCAATTTTAATTGTATCTTTATTCATTTTTCTAATTTTTTTTTAAATGACAGGATAATATGATAAAGATCCAAGCTGAACATTGCCCCCGACCTGGTGTGGTTCCAATTACTCCGGAGGAGCTATCTGTGAAGGTGCTAAAGCCAAGGTCAAGATATGTTAAAGGACTCGGGTTGAGGCGTTCCTTCTCTGTCAGGACTACCAGTGCTTCGACTGACAATGACTATGTGAGGCGTCTAGAGATGGAAATACAAGAGCAAAAGGAGCAAATTCAGTCACAAAAAGAGGAAATTCAGTCACATAAAGAGGAAATTACAGCACAGAAACATGAAATTCAAGTACAAAGAGAGGAAATTCAAGCACAAAATAAAGAGATAGGGAAGATGAATGGGTCGATTGACGAGCATTTTGAGATCACATCAAGCATCATGGAGTTTCTTAAGAAGCAAGGTTTCAAAGGACAATTTAGAGGATGAGGTATCCCATGAACTCGTACGTCGCCTTTTTGGTAAGTCTCGCTCGCTTTATCATTTTATTTTTCTCATGTTGGTTAGTATATACTAGTTAAAGTACAATAGTTTGACTACTTATTAACTAAGATTTAACAAGTTTGAAGATGTATTTAATGAAAATAGATTCATTATCAAAATTCTTACTTAGCATGACTCTAGTTAAAATACACACGAACCAAAGTAGAGACAAAACTAAGTCAGATAATAGCCTGATGTTAGGTGTGTTTCTATCTGTGGATGTTGGTATCTGTATAGCCTAAGTCACAAGTATCTGTATGCTCTGCTGTTGGTATCTGTATGCTCTGCTGTTGGTATCATTTTGCTTTGCTGGTTGTATCTCTATGCTGTGTGAGTGGACAGATCTGCTGGGCAGCTGGTTTGGGTAATTTTGCTTCAGTTTTGCTTCAGTTTTGGATGTGAATCTAATTGTAGGCTTGGTGATGTATATTTTCTATATACCTTTGCTGGGATGGGTAGCTTGCTGTGTGCGTTTTATTCTGCTGTCTGTTGTGTTTTTTGTGTTCTTGTTGGTCCGTCACCAACAGTTTGGTTTTGGTGCTGTGCATCATCCCCCTCTCCCCTGTCCTTTCTTGTCCCCTTTATTGATGTATTTTCTCCTTCTTGTAAGGTTCTTTCATCAATAAAGTTTTTGTTGATCCAAAAAAAAAGAAAAAAGGAAGCAATCAATGTTAAAACAAAATAATACGTATAGCAGTGTGTATTAGTGGGTCAGTAGCTTTGGATGCTTAGTGGGTCTTCTGGTGGGGTTCTGCGGGTTGGCTGCCATGCTTGGCATGGCACGTGTTTGGCTGGCAGGTGAAATGTGTTTTCAGCGGCGTCGGTATGGCTGGCTTCCCGGTGAGTTCATGGCTTCCGTGGTGGTGGTCGTTGCTGATAACGTCGTGTGTTGCATGGTTCTGGGTACTGGTTTTCCTCCGGCGATGGTTCAGAAGATAGATGGCCGTCGGTGTGACATGTCCGTCAGGTCCGTCGTTGCATGGGTTTCACTGTGATGCTACGCCGGAGGTCAGTTGCCAGGTGTTGTGTGCATAACGCGCCGGCGGTGTGCTGGTGTTTTGGTATATGCGTGTTATAGACACTTCAACAGCTGTATGCTATTTCCGATGTAATGTTGGAAACGCTGCAGGTCACGTGGGAGTGGTCTTGGCGCCTAATTCAAATTTTGGTGAAATGGTTTTAATTGTAAATGATTACCGTTTGAAGTTTTGTGCATTGGGCAGTGGGATCAACTGTGTAGTATAGCTGTTGTAGCCCCAATCACATGGGTGTGGTTAGCTTGCTTTATTGGAATGGGCAAATCTGTGGGGAGCCATCTTTTATATATTTGCTGGGTAGCCCATTGTTTTGGGTAACTGGTTAGTGGGTTTGACTTACGATTTTGGGTAATGGTAGTGTGTGGTTCTTCTTTTGACCCACAGTGTTGTTATGCAAGTGGTTTTTTGTCTTGGCCGTGGTGGGCCACTTTTGGGCATGCGTGCAGGTGTGGGTTGTTTATTGGGTTCTTTTGGCCAATTCTGTATGTTTAGTCCCTTTGTAGCGGATCATTTACAGTCGATTATTTTATGGTGATTAATCGTGTGATCCTCATGTGACTCGATATTAGGGTGGTTTTGAGTCATCTCCTCCAACAGTGATTGGGGAGTCACTGCTATGGGGAATAGTGGTTCAATAACCAGCCGAGTTAGAGACTGGGAGATGAGCGGGAGGATAGTTACTGGTTTTCTGGTCGCTTCTTGTCTTCATGTGACCCGTCCTAATTGATCGTATTGCCACGCCTGACATGGAGTGATGGACACACTGCCGTGGGGTTTGAGGCTTGTGATCTACCAAGGAAGGGACTGGGGATGTGATGATTGATCTCATGATTTTTTTGGCTGTGTATTGGTTTGTTGTTGAGGGGTTATTGTTTTCACTTCAACTCTCTAGACCGTGGCTTATGGTTTTTGATTGTGCTAGCTTCATGTGACTTTGCTGGGATTTCTCTTGGGGTAGATTTTTTCCTCCGTCGCGGCTTTGGTTAAGTGGCTTGGATGCCACAGCTGTGAGGAGTGGGATGCTTATTGGATTCCATGTTTTATCTGCAGTCGAGACTGGGGGCTTGTGGGGTTGATTATCATCTTTGTTTCGGCTTGAGGGTTGTTGTTTTGTTAGTGTGTCTGTTTTGTTTATTAGCTTTGTGGTGTTATTTTTTGTATATCTTTGCCCATATATCCACCTCAAGTTTCCATATATTATCTCTGATGGTAGGGGTTACTTGAGGACTAAAAGGATATATGGGCAAAATTGGGTTATTTTGTTTTCAGTTTCTTGTTTACCCCCTTTCTTAGGGGGTGTAGAGGTAATTGTTTGTTGGTTTTTTTGTTTTTTATTTGTTGTTCGGGTGTGCCTGGGGTATGCCCCTTGTAAACTTGTAAATTTTCATTGTTTTATTTTATGACTTACTTACCCAAAAAGCAGTGTGTATTATTTTCTAAATTTAGAAGGGAGCTGTTTTTAGGTTTTGTGCGTGGCCTTTTAATGCTAATGTTAAAAATAATAAGCTTATTATCTACATCCATTTTGGTTATTGCTGTCACAACTCACCAAGCTAATGGTCCAGTTTTCCATTTTTTGCATTGTAGGTTGTTGCTCTCTCTCTCTCTCTTCAAAAATTTTTTAAATCCCATTTGTGCAGCAGCCACAATATTTGTTCCTTCCCATTCTCATTGACTGCATGCTTTGGTTCTTACCATGAGATGTTGTAGTGTTATAACTGGTTTGGCTGCTGTCCGTGGGTCACAGCCAGTTTTTGATCCAAGCATAATTCTAGGGATACAGTGAATTGCCATGTTAAGGTGATCATTGCAAAGCCCATGGGTGGGAATGAGCATGGTATTCATCTTTTTAGTTAATCTCTGTTAATTTCTATTCAAATAACTTCAAGCTTGTGATCTTGAGAACAGTTCTGTATATTTGTTAAGTTTTCATTTCATGCTCACATTCAATTTTTATCATTTCAAGAATATTTATCATTAATTGAATAGTTGGTCCAGATGATGATATGTGAGCATGCATATATATAGTGACTTATTGATGCTTCATATCACTACTACTAATTAATTATTGAAGTGATTAATAAAGCAGGTACATTTCAGGTAATCTAGATGTTAGATAGGTTGGATTTGCATCTTTAGGTATTTTTCAATTCGATTTTCACAGTTTTTATGCTTTGAATCTGTTCTCAAATAGAGGTCTTCACTTGAATTTTGATTTTGATCGTGA